ATAATTTTTGATTTTTGGAACAGGGTTTCTCTGTGTTAATATTCCTGGCCATCCTGGAACTGGCTTTGTAGACCAGGCTGTCTTCGAACTCAGAGATCTGCCTGCCTCTGCTTCCCGAGTGCTGGGATTAAAGGCGTGCACCACCACCACCACCCTACTCTATAGGTCTATTCTTAAACCAGTACACAACTATTTTTGAGTACTGTGGTTTTTACACTGTTTTTCTTTTTCTTTTTGGTTTTTCAAAACAGGGTTTCTCTGTGTAGCCCTGGCTGTCCTGGAACTCACTCTGTAGACCAGCTGATCTCAAACTCACAGAGATCCACCAGTCTCTGAGTGCTGGGATTAAAGGTGTGTACCACCACCACCTGGCTCTGTACAAAGTTTTAAAATCAGAAAGTATGGGTCTTCTGACTGTTCTTTTTATTTATTTTTTATCTATCTATCTATCTATCTATCTATCTATCTATCTATCTATCTATCTATCTATCTTATTATATATACAATGTTCTGTCTGCATATATCCCTGCCTGCCACCATGTGGTTGCTGAGAACTCAGGACCTCTCTAAGAGCAGCCAGTGCTCTTAACCGCTGAGCCATCCCTCCAGCCCTGACTGTTCTTTTTCAAGGTTGTTTTGGCTCCTGAGGGATCTCTGTAATTCCATAGGGATTTTTAGGACAGGGTTTTCATTTATGCAAAAAAGGTCACTGGGGTTTGGGTAGGGATTGCACAGCATCCCTACAGAATCTATAGATTGTGTTGGTAATGTCATTTTACCATCAAACCTTCTGATCATGAACAAAGGATGTCTTATTTACTATTTACTCTCTACAACAGTGTTTTGTAGTTTTTCCATCTCATGACATAGACACCTCCCAAACACCCCATCTACTAATACCATTACTTTGCAGGTTAGGATTTCAACATATCAAGTTGGGGGATAACACTGGACCCAATGTATGTTGGGGGGAGTTCCCAGGTATTTCTACTTTGTTGAGTGTCTTAAAAAACAACAACAACAACAACAAACCACATGAGTACATGTTTGGTTTTTCTGCACCATTGCTATGACCATGGCAACCCCCACTTTGTGTTATTAGTATGGGGTAGTGTATTGACCACTGTGCTATGTTGAAATAGCCCTGCAATATTTAAACATCATTTCACTGTGTGTATCTACTGTATCTGGTACTGTTACACTGCGCACAGTCCCCTCCCTCCCCACTCTCCTTCACTGTCTCCCCACAGTGTCCTTAACTCTTCCAGTCATTTCTACTTTCATGGCATGTTTACATCTGTGAGGTTATGCACTCTATGAAATTAGGACCCACAAAGGAGAAGAATCATTTGATGTAGTCTTTCTGAGGCTGGCTTAGCTGCTTTATAGGAGTTCCTATAAAGCATCCCTTTTCCTGAGAAAACTATGTAACCTTGTTCTTGGTGACAGAAAAAGTCTATTGTGTATACACACACATTTAACATCCATTCCTCCATTGTTGCACACATAGGTTGGTTCCATAACTCAGTTATTATGTATAGTGCTGCAGGAAACACTGATGGGCACGTGTCTCTGTCACATTTAACCTCCACACATTCTTTGGATAAATTCCAAACACTCAGACTCATCATCATTCTGTAAGTTCTGGCCAGCCCACTACGTGTACTATGTTTATGTTTATTAACAAATTTCTGTACTCTATCTTACATTTTTGAGTAGTTCCAATAAGTACAAGTCTAGGTAGGCACTTGCTTTCTTATAGCACATTCAAGAATTTATCCTAGGCTGGAGAGATGGCTCAGAGGTTAAGAGCACCAACTGCTCTTCCAGAGGTCCTGAGTTCAATTCCCAGCATCCACATGGTGGCTCACAACCATCTGTAATGAGATCTGGCACCCTCTTCTGTGTACATAATTAATAAATCTTAAAAAAAAAGGAATTTATTCTGTTGTTTTCTCATGCCCTATATTTCTAAGAACATGGCAGCTCTTCCCCTTACTGCTCATGCAGATATGCCTACTCTTTTATTCGGGGCCAAGTATTAAGATTTTTCCTCTTCCGTTTTCAGCATTTTTGAATCTACTTAATTCAGCTGTTCTTCGGCTTCTGCTGTCCTAACACTCACATATCAAGGCTTCTCAGTTCTCACGAGTTTCTAGTTATTAAGTCAAAGATCAGACTGCTTCGAAGCAGTTTTTAGGGATGAGGAGATCTGTCAGTCAGTAAAGTACTTGCTTTATAAGCGTGAGGACCTGACTTTCATCCCTAGAATTGTGTAAGAGATCTGTGCTCAGTGGCACACACTTGTAATACCAGCACTGGGCTGGGGGTAGAGACAGGCGTATCCTTGGGGCTCCCTGTCCAGACAGTTCAGATCTTGACAAGCTCCAGGCCAATGAGAGACCTTGTCTCAAAAATCAAGGTGGATGGCACCTGAGGAATGACGCCTGAGGCTGACCTCTGGCCTCCACGTGCACATGCCACATAAGCAGGCACACCCCTGCACACCTGTGTACCCACGTGCACATGCATATGCACACACAAACATACATTTAAAAAAAAGCAGTTTTTAGACTCTTGGAAAATGGAGCTGAGAGTCCGGGGTTTCTATATTCTTCAGTGTTGTTAATCCTCAAGTAATGTCTTGCTACATTCTTTCTGCCCTCGCCTTCTGGGGCTCTTCTACGGTAGCTCCTGTGTTTCTTGGCTCGATTCTATCTCTCCCTGCTGCACCATAGGTACCTTCTTCAGATCCTTCATTACACGGAAATTTCAATTGAATAGGAGAGATTTTTTTTTCATAGACATTTCATATACATCACTGGGATTAAAGGCATTTGCCACCCAAGTTCAGATGTTCTGTTTGGGAATGGGGTTTCATTCTGTAGCCCAGGATAGCTGGGAACTTACTAGACATCCTAATATGTCCTCAAACTCATGGTAATTCTTTTTTTTTTTTTTTTTTTTTGGTTTTTCGAGACAGGGTTTCTGCGTGTAGCTTTGCGCCTTTCCTGGGACTCACTTGGTAGACCAGGCTGGCCTTGAACTCACAGAGATCCACCTGGTTCTGCCTCCCCAGTGCTGGGATTAAAGGCATGCGCCACCACCGCCTGGCTCATGGTAATTCTTTTATGTCAGCCTCCAGAGTGGAGAGTTTACAGGCATGAGCCACCACAACCTGGCTTTACAGTGGGTTTGGAAGTCTAGGAATTCACTCAAAGCATTTCATCTGCCTTTAATGATGGCACCATCAATTCAGAAACACTTTAAAATTCATGGTTTGAGGGTGTTTGGAGGACCACTCAGATCATGTGAACACGATGCTATCTCCAGTCTTCTACGAGACAAACTTGCAGGCATGCCTGTGAGGGAGTTTAGAGACTGTGTTAACTAAGGTGGGAAGACCCAGTCAAAATGTGGGCAGCATGGCTCCATGGGCTGTGGTCTCGAATGAAATTGAGGAAGTGAGCCCAGTGAATACCACCAGTCATCTCTCTCTGACTGTGACTGGAATGTGACCAGCTAACACCTGCCTTCTCCACCATGATGCTCTGCACCCTCAGACTGTGAGCCAAGTTAAACCGTTCCTTCCTCAGCCTGCTTTTGGGACAGCATTAGGAGTAACTAATAGAGACTGGGAACCACACAAGCAGCCTGTGGCTAAAGGTTTCTGGGGACTCCCCTTCAGGCCTTGTACTTTTCCGTGTGAAGCCAAGTTTGCTGGCAGGCCCCAGGGCCTAGGAATAAGTGGTAAATCTGTCACTTAGAACTTGTAAATGAGCATGGGGGGGCGTCTTCTGCTGGATTAAAATGATACTAATTGGCGAGATTGTTTAGTGGTTAAGAGCACTTGCTGCTCTTGCAGAGGACCCAGGTTTGATTCCCAGAATCCACACGGTATGCCACAACCATCTGTTGTAACTCTAGTTCCAGGGGATCTGACACCATCTTCTGGACTCAGAGGGGCACCAGGCATACATGTGGTTCACTTTCATACAAGTAAACATTCATATACATAAAAATAAATAATGTTATTAACAAATACATCTTTATGAAGCGTAATATGTTTTGCTTTTTGCATTGTATAATAATTAAATCAAGCTAGTTAATACATTTTTCACTTCAGACTTTTTTCATGTGTATGATGAGAAAGTTAAGATCTATTTTAGCTATTAGAGTTTTTAAAAAGTTTTCTTTAATTAGTTCATTGTCCAAGGTGGTAGGAATTTTTTTTTTCCCAGAGGTGAGGACCAAACCCAGGGCCTTGCGCTTGCTAGTCAAGCGCTTTACCACTGAGCTAAATCCCCAACCCCAGAATTTTTTAATCGATTTATTTTCTTTGTTCTAGTCTTTCACATTTGAATACTTTAAAATTCACATTACTAGCCAGGAGTGGGGGGATGGGGTGGTGAGGAGGTGGTGCGCGCCTTTAATCCCAGCACTCAGGAAGCAGAGGCAGGCAGATCTCTGAGTTTGAGGCCATCCTGGTCTACAGAGTTGTTCCAGGGGAGTCAGATTTACACAGAGAAACCCTCCTATCTTGAAAAATGAAAAACAACAACAAAAAATTCACATTACTTTTCACACTTGAATTCTTTCATACAAATTGAGATTTTTTTTTTTTGTATTTTATGTATATGAGGATTTTGCCTGCAAGTAAGTGTACATGTGCACCACATGTTGCCTGGTACTTCCAGGGGTCATAAGAGATCAGATCCTCTGAAACTGGAGTTGAAGTTATAAGCCACCATGTGGGTGCTGGGAACCAAACCTGGGTCCTCTGTAAGTGTAGCCCCTGCTCTAAGCGGTTGAACCGTCTCTCCAGCCCCTCAACATTTGAATTCTCAACCCACTTAGAGCCCATCTCTGAATCCCATATTGAGAAATGATCCACTTTTATTTTTCTCACTGTTTGCCACTGTCTTAGTTTCTATTCTGTCGCTGTGACAGAATGCCCTAACAAAAGAGCCTTAACGGGGCAAGGGTTCACTTCAGCTCACCATCACCCAAGGTTATGGTCCATTGGTCCATCGTGGTAGAGGAGGTCACAATTGCAGGGGCTTAGGCTAGCGAGTCACGTTGCATCTGCAGTAAAGAAGCGGAGATGAGTGATGAGTCCAAACTGTAGCTCACTTCTCTTTCCCCACTGACACAATCTAGGATCCCAGTCAGAGAATGGCGCCACCACAGTGGCGCCCCAGGTATGGTTATCAAGACGGTTCCCCATGGGCATGCTAAGAGGCACAGGTCCACATGATTCTAGATTTTCGCAAGTTGACAGCACTTATCACAGCTATGGAATCATTTCTTGTCACTATGTGGAGCTCTCTTCAATTAAGCTGCCATATGTAAGTGAATTTATTTCAGAGCTGGGTTTAGGGTTTTTTGTTTGTTTGTTTTGAGACAGGTTTCTCTATATAACCCTGGCTGTCTTGGAACTCACTATTTAGATGAGGCTGTCCTCAAACACAGAGAAATTCTTCAGCCTCTGCCTCCTGATTATTTCAGAACTTTTTTGTTTTTAAATTCTACCTGCCTGCTCCTGTTCTTATGAACTTGTTTTACGGTATGTCTTAATTTTTGGTCCAGTAAATTTCTCCCTTACACTTCTGTTTGTGGTTACTTTTGGCAATTCGCAGACCTTTCTTTTCATTTATTTACTTATTTACTTATTATTTACATTCATGGTATTCATTAATTACACTCATGATATTAATTACATTTGTGGTATTCATTGATTACATTTGCAGTATTCATTCAATAACTGCATTTATGATATTCATTAATTACATTAATTGTATTGATTTATTACATTCATGATATTATGTCCTGACACTACTGTCCATTTGTGGGACTTTTCCATCACATAAAACAGAGATTCTGTACTTAGGAAATCATTGCTCTATATTCCTTTCTTCTCCATCTTGAGATAACATCTAATCTTTCTGTCTCTATGAATTTGTATATTCTATATATCTGATGTAATACAATTCTGTAGTATTTGTCCTTTTTTTAATGTAAAGATTTTTTTTTTTTTTTTGGTTTTTCGAGACAGGGTTTCTCTGTGTAGCTTTGCGCCTTTCCTGGAACTCACTTGGTAGTCCAGGCTGGCCTCGAACTCACAGAGATCCACCTGGCTCTGCCTCCCGAGTGCTGGGATTAAAGGTGTGCGCCGCCTGGCTTTAATGTAAAGACATTTTATGTACAACTGCAGGAGAAATAATACACAGATAGCTTGAACATAAAAACAGGTTATAATTCAAGTCCAGGGTTATTTTAAACAAGTCAGTTCTTTTCATCTACCATACTGGCCACAGGGATTGAACATAGGTTGCCAACGCTTGGCAACAGGTGCCTTCAGCCACTGAGCCATTTTGCTGGCTCCCACATGGCATCTTACCTGTTTAGTTGACTGTTTTCCTTACTAATGCAAGTCTCTAGAGCACAGGACTCATATTTACCTCTAGACTCTCAGGACTACACATAATAATCTAGGACTTAGGTTTGTTTAATCACTTACTAATTTGCATGTGGGTGCACGCATGGACAAATGGCATGCACGTGGAGGTGAGCACAACTTGTGCAAATTGCTTTTCTCCTTTTACTATGTGGGCTCCAGAGATGGGACTCATGTCATCGGGATTGGTGTCAAACACCTGTGCCCACAGAGCCATCTTGCTGGTCCCTTAGGATATGTAATCCATTATTCACAACTAAATAAATGAGATGGTAACTAATGATATGTTTGCAGATGACAACTGATAAAACATATTGCTATCCCCTAGATAAGATGAGATGTGTTGTCAATAAAATCCCCAAACTAGAACGTAACCCTGACTTAGTTTCTCTTTGTGTCTTTCTAGACTTCCAAGCAACAAAACAGATCTCTAACACAGATCCGGAAACTCAGAGGTAAGAATGATTCTATCCTTATGGGTCAGCTCAAGGCTGATGACTGATCAACTGTGGACCTGCTTTAGGACTCTTTCCACTTGAAGTGGAAGAAAGTTGAAAAAGAGGGTGTGCCTGGAGAGTACGCCCATCTCTCTGACATCTTTCCTTCCAAAGTCAGTCAGACAGCTCCATCCTCCATTGTTTCCATTCCTCGGGCTTCTCTGTCCCTACATCTTCATGTAGAGCCCAAAGTATGGGAGAGGAGAATGGACAAAGATGAACTACCAAGAGTTTGGTGCAGGAGGTCCATTACCTTTATTCCTCTACCACAGATGTGGATGTGGGACAGACATCTTTGAAGGGGAAGATGTATCGGGATCTCTGTGTTCCCCCAGCGCTGCGTTCCCAGTCCGGGCTTCTCCTGGGTCACTTCTAGTACATGACGAAGACAGGATAGTATGCTTAAAAAGCAAAACAAAACTCGATAGCTGTGCTGTACCACTCATCAGCTTCACGATGGGTGTGACTTCATCTTTTCTCCCCTAATTGTTAAATGAAGGGGGTTCTGTTAGATGACGTCAGGAGTCACTATGCTAACAGTTTCTTGGCTCCTGTTACAGTTTCACGGTTGGAAGAAACAGAGATGAACGTCAGTGTAGCTGATCTGACATGATAAACAGAGTCTATCTACAGACTGTCCTGTGACAAATACCCATGCTGACTAGTTTCCTGTCAACTTGATACAAACTGCCATCATTTTGGAAGAGGAAACCTTAATTGCCCCCCCAGATTGCCCTGTGGTCAAGCCTGTGGTACATTGTAGATGTAACCAACCGTCTTATTAAATAAGAAACACAGAACCAATGCAAAGAAGAAAGCCAAGAAGTCAGAGCTAAGAGCAAAAACCTTACCCGTCCTCCTGTGGTGGTCCTACCTCTCCGAAAGAGAGCTACTTCCTGTGTTAAAGTCTTTATATAGACTTTATGCTCTGCCTTCTCATTGGTTGTAAACTCAACCACATGACCGCCTCGTCACTGCCTGTCTGTACAGACCTCCAGGTCTTCTATGGTTGGTATTGAGATTAAAGGCGTGTGTATCCAATGCTGGCTGTATCCCTGAACACAAAGAGACTTACCTAGCTCTGCCTACCAAGTGCTGTGATTACAAGCATACACCACCACTGTCTGGCTTTCCTATGGCTTGCTAAGAGCTCTGACTCCCGGGCAACTTTATTTATTAACATACAAATAACATTCTAATACAAATAAAATATCACCATGGTATATTTTCATTCTTTTTTTTCTTTTTTTCTTTTTTTTTTTTCAACGTATAACCCTGGCTGTCCTGGAACTCGCTCTGTAGACCAGGCTGGCCTTGAACTCACCTGTCTCTACCTCCCGATTGCTGGGATTAAAGACATGTGCCACCATGCCTGGCTGCATTCTGTTAATTGATGATTGATGTGGGAAGGTCCAGCTCACTGTGGGTGGTACCACGCATGAGCTAGTGGTCTCAGGGGGTACAAGAAGGCAGGGTGAGCAAACCATGAAAGCAAGCCAGTAAGCAGCTCCATGGCCTCTGGATCAGCTCCTGCCTCTTGGATCCATCTTGCCCTGAGTTTCTACCCTGACTTCCCTCAGCAATGGAGTATGACCTGAGTGTTGTAAGCTGAAACAAACCCTGTCCCCACAACTTGTTTATGTTCATTGGGGTTCATGACAGCAATAGAATTCCTACCCGTGACACCATCTTCATTGTGAATGCTGTACGTAAAATACCTGGCACTCTGACTTCATTTACTCTGAGAGCAATTGCCTCCTTCCTAAATTATCTTTCTATTCCTACTGCAATGTCACTTCAGTTCCACTGACATACTCTGCTGTGTCCAGTATTTCAGGACTTCCTACCGAAGGGACCCAGGAATATGTACTCTGGTCAATAGACAGGAGTCTTCGACAGATCTTCCAACATCTGGATAATGCAAGGTCAGGAAACAGAGTCACAAGGCAGGGGGCTGAATGGGGGCGGGGGGAGAGAGAGATGGGGGGAAGAAGAAGAAGAAGAAGAAGAAGAGAAGGAAGGAAGGAAAGAAAGTAAAGGAAGGATGTAAAGGAAAAAAGTTAGTTTGAGGAGCAGTGGAGAACTCTTTTGTGAGCTTTATATGTTTTATGTTTGATCTGTATGGATATTTTTCCCGCAGGTAAGTATGTGTACCACATGCATGCCTGGTGCCCAGAGAGATCACAAGAGGGTATATGATCCCCTGGTACTGGAGTTACAGATGTTTGTGGCCTACCATGTGTGTGTTGGGATTCAAACTTGGGTCCCCTGGAAGAGCAGTCACTAAGTCACTGCTCTTATCCTCTGGGCTATTTCTCTAGGCCTCACTGTGTAAATATATGTATATATTTTATTCATTTGTATTTTTTGCATGTGTGCACATAGGTGCCACATCATGTATGTGATGGTCAGAGGACAAGCCACAGGAGTCAGTTCTCTCCTTCCAACATGTGAGTCTTAGGGCTCAAACTCAGGTCATGCCAAGCACAGGTGTGCGTGTGTGTGTGTGTGTGTGTGTGTGTGTGTGTGTGTAAAACTTGGGTGTCATTTCTGGGAGCCATCCACCTTGTGTTGTGAGATAGAGTCACTCCCTGGGACTCACTGATCAGCCTTGGCTGTCCAGTGAGTCCCAGGGTATCTACTTGTCTCTGCTTGCCCAGCACTGGGGCACTGTGTTCTTTTATTTTCCTGTGGGTTCTAGGGATGGAACTCAGCTTCTCTATTTGTATAGCATGCACTCTACTGATGGACGTCTACTTTGCTCTTGGTGGAGGAATTCTTGACATAAATAATTGATGTTTGTGGATGCAACCCCTCTTTTCCTTCTCTTGCTTAGACTAAAAATATTTTGGATTTGAAATAACCACTCCCTCCCCTCTCTCTAACTTCCCCTACTGATTCCAAAGAAAATGAAAACATTTCTCTTTGTTTCTCAGATCAACACTTATGGAGCTGAATGTTTTAGAATCCCGAGATGTGACTTCTTCCTCCGACTCTGACACTGTGGTTCAGGAGATTGTCCCACCCAGCTGTTACTGTCAAAAGGGAAAGCCTTCTACGGTACAGCATGTCCTCTGCATCATCCAACAACAGCTCGAGCCTGTCTTATCTTCCAATGTTTCCTGAAGGGACAGCTTGGCAATTCCAGAGCGATAGTGGACCTGTTTCCTCCCAAAAGGAAGCATCTATGCCCAGGAGCCCTGGCACATCCCTGCCTACTTCTCAGCTGATATATCCTGAGAAATCAGATCTTTCTCCGAATTTGGCAGTTCTTCATCCCTTACAAGCTCAAACTTCCTTTATGAGCTCTATTTTAGAATCCTTAGATCCTTGCGAACAAGAGAAAACAAAAGATAAGGTTTCTACTTTGGGACAACAAGTGGTGCCTCTGCCTGTGAAGAAATCCTGGAACATACTCAATCATTTGATGGATGTACAAGGAGTCCCTGAAGAAGAGCTCCCGAAAACTCAGTTACCTGCACTCATCCCTCAGAGTGTTGAGCAAAATACCAACACATCTCCAGATCCTCCATCATTTCATCTCCACGTGAACATTGGGGTGAATTCTGAAGTCCATAGGACGGAAGCAATCATTTCACAGCCATTTCCCTCAAACAGGCAGTCACAACCCGAGGATGACCGCCAAGAACTTAGACATAATCCTTTAGTTATATCAACGGGCACACCATCTCCCAGAAATTTAGGAGTTAACATAATTCAGGAAGAACAAGCTTTAGTGAAAAAGGATTCAAAGCATGTGTTAGAGCCGAATATAGAGCAGAGGGTCATAGGTCTTCCAGAAAAAAGGGTACAGACACATAAGGCTCAACTAACTAACGTGGAGCTGACACCCAAGACACCACGTTCAGCCACTGGCAGCATAAAGGTCACTCCATTGGCATTGCTTCAGGTTATGGACTTAATGGGAATAATCCCAGAGTCACAGTCGGAGCTGATAGACTCTGTGGGGTTTTCCCCAGAGCCGCCAAATCAAGCAGAAACAGTGAGGATAACTCCTCAGCCATCGAATCAAGTAATTGAACCACTAAAAGTAACCCATCATCGGCATCAAAGCACGGAATTAAAGAGCATGGCCTCAGGACTGAGTCAAGTCACAGATAACCTGGAGGTAACTCCTGTGGCATTGTTTCACGTCACGGATTCCATGGAGATGATTGACAAATTAAGTCCACATGGCATAGAACCAGTAGGAGTAGCCCCACAGCCACAATACCAAGTCATGGAATCAGTGAAGATGGATACAGTGCATAACTATCAAGCCATAAGACCAGGAAGTATGAGTCGAGGGCCACAGCAGACAGTTGTGGAAGCTGTGGAAATGATTCCCCAGCCTCAGCATAAAGACATGGGAACACTGACCATGACCTTGGGGTCACAGAATCAAGCCTCAAAACACATCAGGATTACTCCCAGTCCAGTACATCAAAATGCAATGGAAATTAGCTCAAGTGCACTGCCTGAAGCCACTGAAGATACAAAAGTGTCTCCAGTGGCAAAACAAGCCATGGATTTCATGCAGATATTTCCACTAGGACAGCCACACATTACTAAATCTAGGGCTTTGATCCCAGGCTCACAGCCTCCAGCTGAAAATTGGACCCCAGTGTCAGCTCAACCAGATGTTCCGACTACTACTGTCCCAGCAGGAACAGTAGAATCTAGAAGCGTACCTCCACAGCCACCATCTAAAGTACTGGAACCATCAGGAATGACTGATGACCTACAACCGTCATGTCAGTCCCTGCATGCTCTAAAGGTGACCCCGCCAGTCCAGGCATCTCCGACGGGAATGATCACACCACTACAAATTGTAGAGCCTCAAACTAAAGAGTCTCTGCAATTGACTTCTGGGTTACAGGGTCAAGTTGACTCCGTGGGGACTACGCCACAACCTCAAGGCACAGAGTGTGTGTCATTGACTCCAAAGTCACAGTACCAAATATTGGAACCCATGAGAGCAATCCCAGCACCACCAGATCAAGGTGCAGTACCTATAGGAAGGGGCCAAAAGCATCAAGTTCCAGAAGCTGAAGTAGTGCCAGTCATACCACTGCTTCAGGAAATGGAATATTTCGGGGGGAGCACAATCCCACAGCCTAAGGTTAGGGATTCAATGGACTTTCCCCCAGAACTACAGAATGTAAAATCTGAGCACCTAATCCCAGATCCAAGATTGCAAAGTATGAAATCTGTGGACATAACCACAGATTTAGTCCCAGAAATGGAAAAATATGGACCACCAACCTCAACAGTGATATGTATAGATTTGGCCCCAGAACTGCATCAGCAGAATTCACAATATGAGGAATTAACCCCCAGACCACAACTGCAAAGTGAGACATCTGTGCCATCGGCCCCTGAGTCTCAGTTTCGAAATGTGAAATCTGGCCAACTGACAATTGAACCACAACACCAAATCAAAAAGTCTGCTGGGTTGGCCGCAGGTCCACAGTTGCACAGCAATATATCAGTACATTGGATCCCCGATTCTCAATCTCAAGGAATGGAAGAAGCTCTTTCAGGCCTATCACAGGAGTTACAAGGAGATATAAAGATGGTGGAGTTGACTCCAAGACCATCACTTGAAGATGTAAAATCTGTGGACTTGGCCTCAGAACCATGTTCACAAAGTACCGGCTCTGATAAGATAGCCCATGTACCATTGCTTGAGGATACAAACACTCCATTGGTAGAAGGTAGGAGTCTAATTCCTGAGGCACTGGTGGAGAGCATGGAAGTTGGTGAACTGATCCCAAGCACACACTTTGATGCAACAAAATCTTTAGAAGCGACCCCCAAACCAAGTTATCATTTCCTAGAACCTGAAGGACTGACCCTACAGCATCCAACCTCAGAAGCAAGAGTGACCTCTGAACCTTGCCAGCAGGTGGAAGAATCTGCTCCGTTGCCACAATCATCATTAGGGATGACTCCAGCACCATTGAGCCAGACCTCAGAATCTGTGGAGATGAGCTCACCACCACTCCAAGATACTCTTGAACCTGGGACCCAAGTTGTAAAAGGGATGGAAGAGACTCCAGAATCAGGAAGTGCAATTAAAGATACTCTGGATTTGCTACTAGATTCAGAAGTGCAAACTATGACCTCAGGAGTGGTGGCCCCAGAGCCACAGCCCCCAGATGTGAAGTTTGTTCAGGTGACTCTAGAACCATGTGCAGAAGTTACTAACCCATCGGAAATAACTCTGAAAGGAGAATATGAAGACACAGAGACCTTCAGATTGACATTCTCTAAAGTCGATGATACCCAGGGAACCATCATAGACCTATATTCAGAAGTGAGATCTCTGGAGTTTAGTCTAGAATCAGGAGTGCAAGGTGAGAAATCAGAGTCCTTTGCCCAAAATTTGAAGTCTGCAGAAGTAATCACCGAACTACCCTTACAAGTTGTAGAACCTACAGAACTAGCTATAGGACCCAAACCACATATTAAAGATGTGACCCCAAAGCCACAGCTCCACGAAGTAAAGTCTAGGCAAATGGATAGAGAATCACAGTTGCAAAATGAGAACTCTGTAAGTGTAATACAACCGTTATCTGCAGGAGAGGTAGATCCTGAAAAGACAAAACCAGAGCCATGTCTACAAAGTTTATCACCGAAGGAACGGATTGAGGGAACACAGCCCCCAAATGTGAAATCTGTGGATTTCAATCTAGGCCCAGAGCAGCTAAGTGTCAAATCAGAATTGATTCCAGGGCCAAAATTGCAAAGTGTCCAGTTTCCAGTGTTTTATCAAGGGCTACTTCTTCAAGGGGAAACCCCAGTAAATTTCATCTCAGGCCCCCACATTATGGTGTGAAATCTCATGATGAAATATCATGTTTCCTGGGGCCAGAAACCACATCATCAGATTTTATCCTGGAGCCAAAGCTTCCAGAACCACAGCCACAACCACAACCACAACCTGGTAAGCCGGTAGACGTAAACATAAGACCATGCTTGCAACATGTGAGATTCTCTGATGCCATCCCAGAGCCCAAACACCAAGGTTTCAAATGTGTAACCTTCATGCCAGGTGTTCAGCTTCAAGACAGGAAGCCTCAGGGATTGATGCCAGAATCGTTTTTGCCATTAAGCCAAGAGACACAGGTTGAAGATAAGAAGCTTGTGTTGCCTCCGGAAGTATCAGAGTTTTGCAGCATGAAACGCCCAATCCCAGCCTCTGAACCACAACATCCAAGAGTGATAGCTAAGCAGGTCAATCCAGGACTGTGGCACCAAGATACCAAATTTTCTGAGTTGGCTTCTAGGCCGAAACTACCAGGGGTCAGATTTGGGGAGCAAACCCCAGGATCATTGTCTCATGGTATGAGTCCTATGACTCCAGAGTTAGGGATACATGATCACAAATCAGCAGGGGCGACTCCAGGGCTACAAGAAACAAGGCAGGTGAGTTTTAATTCGGGGCCATGGCTGCAGGATGTCAAATTTTTTGATGTAATTCCAGGAACTCAACCTCAAGGTGTGAAGATTTCAGAGTTAAACTCAGGGCCACAGTTAGAGTGTGTAAAAATATTTGAGTTGACCACACAGTCAGAGAGGCAAGGGATGAAGCCAGAGTTAATAGTACAAGAACCACTCTTTAAAGATATAAAATATGTCACAAGGAATCAAGTACCAAACTTTGAAGGCAAAATGTCTTATAAACTAGCATCTGAACCACAGATACCAAAAGCAGAATCAAAGAAACTGACTCCTGGGAAACACTTGGCAGGTGCAGATCATTCTGAGATGATCAGAAGAACACAGGCACAAGGTGTAGAATCTTCTACATTGATCCACAGACAGCATTTGGAACATATAAAACCTGTAGAGAAGATCACAGCCTCAAACCAAGAAGAGTTAACGCCAGGGAATCATTTGGAAGACAGGAAATCTATGGAGTTAAGGTCAAAGTCAGAGCTGGGGAAAATCATGTCTATGCTGTCAACCCCGGGGATACAAGCAGGAGATAAGGAACGTGAGGAGCTGCCTCCGGGCTCCAATTTGAAAGGTTTAAAATATGAGTTACCCCCTTCAGAACCACAGTTAGAAGACAGGAAATCTGCAGTCTTAACTCTAGGACAATGTCTAGAGAGGATAAAATCTACAGTGATATCCCCAAGTAGTTCCCAGTTAGATGGTATGAAATCTGTAAAGCTGATTCCAGGTTCAAGAATTCAAGATTTGATAACTGTGGGGTTGGCCAGTGATGCACGTGTTCAAGATGTAAATGCAATGCACTTAGAACTTGAACCAAAGAAGCAAGGGGAGAGTCCCATGACTTTTGTACCAGGGATGCTATTTCAAAACAAGCCTATGGAGGTGTTGCAAGGGCCTCATCTACAAGATATAAAACCCAAGGAACTGACTTCACGGCCACAAACACAAGATAGCAAACGTGTGATTATCTCATGTCTGAAGCAGCAAAGTCTAAAACCTGTGAATAGAGCCAAAAAACAAGGGATCCAAGGAGTAAAATTCATGGATTTAGTCTCAACGCAACAGTATCAAGGAAGGGCACCCATGGATTTAACTCTTGAGCCCGGACAGGATGACCACATAAGCTCAGCAGAGTGGAAAGGTGGGATGTTCGGCCACCTGAACAAACAGTTGGAGTCAGAAGAAATGTTGTCTATGGGGTCAGATCAAGAACCCAAACCTGCAGGTAGAAAACCCATAGAGCTCACCTCTAAACTACAATGTAAAGATGCACCCTCATTTAAATTGGCTCCTGATAATGTAAAAGCTCAAGAGGGCCCATATGGGCCACAGGTGCCGAGTATGAGACCTTGTCCATTGACTCCAGAATCACAAGTGTACCAAGTGAAAGACTTGGAGCCAATGTTAGAGCCACTGCTTCAAGATGGGAGAACTGTGGCACTAAATACAGAACCAGAAAGTACAAGTACAAAATCTGTGCAGTGGATACCAGTATCTGAGTTTCAAAGGGAGAAATGTATAGGGTCAAACTTTAGGTTACAGTCTCAAAGTGCCAGCCCTACAGAATTGAAGCCGTCTACACAACGGAGAGGTGTGAGGTCATCTGAATTGACTGTCAGGTCAAAAATTCAAGGAGAAAAATCCGGAGAGTTTCATCTTGAGTCACAGTTACAGCAAGTAAAAACCTCTGCGTTAGCACTAGGGCTGCAGAAAACTAAACCTTTGAACTTAACTTCCGAGCCACAGCCTCAAGGGATCAAAACTGATCAGCTAAACAAAGAGACACAGGTAGAAAGATCTATCCAGTGGCTACCAAGACCTGAATTCCGCCGTGTGACATTTATAGAATCAAATCATGAGCCACCATCTCCAGGTGTCAAATCTACAGAACGGAAACCATCCATACAACTGGAAGGTGTGAAGACATCAGACATGGCTCTAGGGCCAAAACCTCAAGGAAAAAAATCCGTGGATTTTAACCTTGGGCCACAAGTACAGTGTGTGAAGACCCCTGAGTTGTCCCCAGGACCAGAGCTACAAGAAGGGGAAAACATCACATCAACCTCAGAGCTACAGTCTCAGTGTGTGAAAAGTGTGGCATTGCTTCAGGGACCACAGCTTGAAAATACAAAATCTGTTCTTTGGATACCACTGTCTGACTATCAAGTTAATAGATCTACACTGAATCTTAGGTTACCACCTCAGGATGTCACAGCTAAAGAGTTAAAACCCTCAGTACAACTAGATGTGAAGACATCCGATGAGTTGACTACGAGGCCAAAGTCACAAGGTAAACAACCTTCAGGGTCAACCCAGGAACATCAGTCTCAGAGGTCCAAAACTACTGATTTTAAATCTGAGCCGCAGTTTTAGAATTATGAAAGCATGTGACCCAAACTTAAGGTCAAAGATCAATAATATAAAATTGACATTCAAACCCAGGTTTTGCTTAGAAGACAGGAGCTCTCCTGGATTAAACCCTGGAATACAGCCTCAAGAAGTGAATCCCTTAGGGTCATCCCCAGGAACACAGCCTCAAACTGTGACACCTTCAGTGTTTAAACAAGAGTTACAGTCCTCAGAAGTGAAATATGGAGCAATAAGCCAAAGGCCACAATCACAAAACAATGTAGAGTTGAAATGTGGAAAATCTTCTGAGTTGGCACTTCAGGCAAAGCCTCAAGGTATGAAATCTGAGAAGAGCTCTGGGTCCCAGTGGCAACGTGCAAAATGTTCTGACTTGACACCTGAAACAGAGTCCCCAAATATGAAATGTACTAAGTTAAGTCGCAGCTCACAGTTGAAAGGTAAAGCATGTATTGAGTTATCTTCGGGTACCAAAACTCAACGTGTCAAACTAGGCTGTAAACCTGGGCCCCAGTGGCAAGGTATAAAATATAACTCATTTCTGAGGACAAAGCCTCAAGAAATGGAAATGGAAGACTGGGAATCAGGCCCGCAGTTACAAGATCTGAAATCTTCAAGGACAATCATGGGTATAAAGGTCCATGATGTCATGTCTGTGGACTTTGGTCCTGGACCACACTTACAAGGTATGACATCTGAAGTCATTACAGGGAAGAGTGTTCATGGTATGAAATCTGTAGAAGACAAACCTAGTTCAAAGTTACAAAGTAAGAAACATGATTTCACCCCGAGGAAGATGTTCTTAGGTTCAAAATCTGTAGAGCTGGACTCAGGCCCCCCTTTACAAGATTTGAAATATCCTGAGCTGATCATGGATATGAAACTTCAAGGTATGAACTCTATGGGACAACATGTTACAAGTATAAAATCTTCTGAGGTGGTAACACAGGTAAAATCCCAAGGTGTGACAGCAGTAGACCTCAATTCTGGACCACAGACACAAAATAAAAAGCCGTCTGAGTTGGCTCAAGGGAAAAGGCTCCTAGCTAAGGAGTCTGTAGAGTTTAATCAAGGCCCAAAGTTACAAGGTGTGACAGTGGAGTCCAAGCCCCCAAATGGGGAATCTGGGAAGTTAAACTCAGGCCCTCAGTTACAAGATGAGAAATATTCTCAGTCAATTCTGGGGACAAAGCTTCAATATGGAAGATCTATGGAGGTCAGTCCTGGCCTATGCTCACAGGGTATGAAGTCTTCCAAAGTGATTTCTAGGACAAACTTCAAAAAGAAAAACCCATAGGCTTTGTGTATCAGCCACTGTGGCAAGATGTAAAATCTTTAAAATGGACATTTGGTAAGGCACTTGACAGGGAACCTTTGCAGTTGGAAACCGCTCATTTACAGGACAGGAAATTAACTATGTTAACATCAGAATTACACCTTCAAGGTATGAAACCTGAGTCAGTCAACTGTGTATCAAAGTTGAAAGGTGTGAAGTCTGAGCCCACATATATCCACACAATGAAGGATACAGGGATCAATCATGGTTCAGAATCACAGTTTGTGGGATTCTCTAAGCAGGCCTCGGACTCAAAGGTTTATAGAGTGGTGCCTTCTGAACTCAATGCCAGAAACCAGAAGCGAGATCGGAAGTCTCACAAATTAAGTCAAAAGCAACAACTTCAAAAAAATAAAACAAATATCGTTCAGGGATGAGCCACATTTACAACATATCAAGTCATCAGAATTATGTACAAAGCTTCAAGACCTGAAATCTATGGAATTCAATTCAGAGCAACAGTTGCAAGATGTGATGTCTTCTGAGTTGGGCCTGAGAATAAGTCCTCAGTCTTTAGACGTCAACCCTGGGCCACATTTGCAAGAGATAATACCTTTTTTGGGACGCACAGAAACCAAGTTTCCAGATGAGCCATCTCCGGAATTCAAGCGTAAGCCTACACTGCAAGGTAGGCCATCCTGTGACCCGAGTGCAGGGCCACAGATTCACTGTGAAAATGTTATGGCATCCAACACCGGAACACAAAATGTAGAATTGTCTGAGTTGCACCCTGGTCCAGACCTTCAAGGTATAAAATCTAAGGTGTTCTGCCTTGGACCACACTTGGAAGATGTGAATTCTGCATGCACTCCCAATGCAAATTCTCAATATATAAACACCAGTGGGTGTAAACGTGGGCCATATTTGCAAGATATAAATTCCTCTGCTTGCATCCCAGAGCCAGACCCTCAATGTATAAAATCTGTGTGCAATCCTGGGCCACATTTACATGGAATGAATTCTTCTGCATGCATTTTAGGACCAAAATTGCAAGGTGTAGATTATACTGGGTGTATCCATGAGCCAAACTGGCCAGATGTAAATTCTTCTCTATGCACCCCAGGGCCGAGTCCTCAGTGTATGAGTTCTTCTGTATGCACCTCAGGGCCTAGTCCTCAGTGTGTGAATTCTATATGTACCCCAGGGCTAAGTTCTCAGGGTGTGAATTCTTCTGCATGCACCCCAGGGACAAGTCCTCCCAGTGTAAATTCCACTGAGTGCCATCCTGAAGCACATTTGCAAGGTGTGAATCAATGGGCATCAATTCTAGGGCCACGCATTCAGTGTGTAGGTTCTACTGGGCGCAATCCTAAATCACATTATCAAGGTGTAAATCCTTCCTCATGCACTCCAGGGCAAAACCCTCAGTGTGAACATTCCAATAGGTGTAGTCTTGAGCCACTTCTTCTTGGTATAAATGATGGTAGAACATTTCCAGCACCACAGATTATGTGTGTAAATCCTGTTTGGTGCAATACCAAAACACATTTGCAAGATGTGGATTCTTCTGCCTGTACTCAAAGACAAGAGTCACAGTCTGTAAATTCTACTGGATACAACCCTGGGCCACATTTACAAGCCCCGAAACTTCAAGGTATGAAGTTTTCTGAGTCGAACTCAGGGACAGGAATTCAAAAGAGATGCCCTTAATAGTTAACAAAGGACAACACGTGCAAGACCTGAAGTTTGAATCAATTCCAGGGTCAAATATTATAGATATAGCACCTGTGGAATACAACCCTGGGCCACAGGTACAGTGTGTGAATTTTCCTGAATTGAATCCAGGATTAAAATTACAATGCATAAATCCATCGAAGCTTAGTTCACGGGCACAGTTGCAAAACATGAAGTCCTTTGAGTTGATGCCTGGATCAGAATCTCAATGTCCAAAATCTGTTCTGTTGAATTCTGGACCACCTTTTCAAGGTATGATGTCATCTCACTTAATGGTAGGGGCAGAGTTTCAAGAGATCCCATTTTTGAAGAACCAACTTGGGTCGTGGCAGGAAACTGTACAACCCACATTTACTTTGAGGCCTCCGTCAAATGGTGTGAAATCTGTGGGAGTTTCACC